TCGTACTTGACTGGAAAACTGCCTAAAGACAAAAAAGAAAATGTGAGACCAAAAATGACAATCTAGAATAATGGTTAAATTATCTCGTTTAATATGAAGACTCTAGAGCAGTAATTTGAATATAAATTTGTGTAGGAACAGCATCTGTTTCTTCAAAGATTATTAATTCATTGTCAATTCCATTCTTATTTAATAAATGAGCAGAGAAATGATATAATATTTGTGTTGGCTTTCCCCAATCATAACGACATTTTGATGGATCATAAGAACCACGATAATCACATGGAGGTACAGGATCTTTATTAGGTGCATTAATAGTTAAATAACGACCTAAACTATAACCATTCATATATAATAATCCTTTATACATACCGGTCATATTAACTTGATATAAATTACTAGAATTACTCACTAAATTGCCGGGTGTTTGAAATTTTAAACGATACCAGTTAAAATTAGATAGTTTAGTAGACAATTGATTAGAGATTGGTTTCCATGGTAAATTTGTATTATTATTAGGATTAAAATATTGTTTATCTTCTCCTGTTAAACCAATTTGATAATTCCATTTATTTGAAATAATATTTTTTCCATTAAACATTACAGTATCATTTGGCTGAAATGCTAATCCACGTCCCAATGTTTCAAAATGAATTCCATAACTATCCAATCTCATAGTAGCACCGACTAATTTTAATTCTATTGTATCATATGTTTTTAAATTTAGATCTGTAATATTTAATATAACACTTACATTAATTTCTTTTTGTTGATTAAATATACTAGTTTGCCATTTTCTATTTAAAAATATAAATAAACTTTCACAACGCATAGGTAAAGTTAAAGTTATATTTTGTAATTCGATATCAAATTCAGTTAATTGAACCGAAGTTGTATAAGTTAAATAATCAGATTTATCTAACGTAGTAGAGTAATGTTCTTGCATAACAGTAGTATTAGTAACCGGTAAACTTGCATGAAACGAAGACTTTTTTGATTCATATTTGTTACTATTTTTAAAAACTAAGGAATTTAAAGAAGGTTCTGGTATGTATTCTATAGATGAGAAATTCTTAAATTGAGCTGTAGCTAGTTTAAATGGTGTATTATCAGATAAATTTGCTGAATTATATACTACAGCTTTACTATGACCATCGATAATAAGAGCACTCCAAGCGGATACTGTATAGAAAGAATCTTCTAACTTAACTGTTTGATCTAATTTATCGTTGTTATTAATTAAAAATATGACTGATTGAGCTGAAGTATTGCTAGGAGAAGCATAAATAACACTAACAACACCTTTTGTTGTTATATTAACAAGAGGAGGAAGATTATCTCCAACACTTAATAGAGCAGGTACATAATAATTAATCGTATTTAATAAATGTCTAAGATGATTAAAATGATTATTATTTGGTATTCCTATTTCCAAAATAGGTGGATCAAATGAATAAGTAGTCGTATGAGTACGACCAACGACTCTACCATAATTAGTACCTCCATACATCAAATAAGTATTATGCATAGCCGCTCCATAAGCAACATATTGAACAACAGAATAAGTGAAATCTTGAATAGGACGATGAGGTTTCGCAGATCCAAATTGAGTCCATCCGGGACTTCCAATCCAATTTTCAGTTGTAATACCAGGTTGAGTATTATTATGTTTAGTCCAGTGCACATTTCTTAACCAATCACCTGAATAATAATCGTTATTAGCATTATTAGTTTTAACATCCATATCTTCATATCTACAAGTAATCCAATAACATACAGAACAAACAGAATGAGCCATATCAGAAGCCCATTGCATATAAGCAGTAGCATCACCAGGAGGAAATGCATGCGCAATATTACCATATTCATTTTCAATCTGAAGCATAAATATTGGTCCACCATTTGATGCAAATAAAGGACTTAAATGTTTTACAACTGCTGTAGTGAAAGTTTGCATTTCCATTTGCCATAATTGATTAACAGTACGAATTTCAATATCTTTGTATTTTTCAGTGAATTGTCTTAGCCAAACAGGTAAACCACCGTAACTCCATTCAGCATCAACATAAGGTCCAATACGAAGTAAAACTAATAAACCTTCTGATTTCGCTAATTCAATAAACTGAGTAATATTACGGCGTTCGGAAGTCCAATCATAAACACCAGGTTCAATTTCATGATAAGACCAAAATATATATAAACTAATACAATTAATTCCAGTTAGTTTTACTAGTTGAATCATCGAAAGCCAATCATCAGGATGAATTCTCGCATAATGAATAGATCCAGATTGAACTAATATGGGAACATCATTTAAATGGAGTGAACGCATACTACCAGTTACATTATAAGGACGATCACGAAACTGTAAATAAGGTAAGTATGAAGCGGAAACTCGTGTAGAACTAGAACATTGAACAATACCAGAGAACATGATAACAAACACCAATAAAATCAATGTATCATGGACCAACTTCATAATTGAAATTAAAGTACTTTGTATCAGGGATTACAGCTAGAACAAGAAGAAAAAGAAGACATGTAAGTTAAATAAAAAGCAATAACAGTGCTTCACACACATAAATTCAATCATATTACGATTTTCATTCGAAATTTGTACGACTGAGTGCCATCTTTTAACTGTTTAACGGCGAATGATTCAATTAATCAGCGTCCATCAAAACTTTTCTTTAATTTAAGACAAAATTTGAGATTCCCAAAAGAGGCTATACTCAAGGAAGATTATAAAAGTCACACTGGTTGACGTAGATCAATTACATAATAATTCAAAAAATTGAATTTTATATAATTCATAATAAAACAATCCGATGAAGAAAACAAGATTTCAGTAGATCTAGAATTATTTCAGCGGTCTAGGAGTCTAGAAATATGATAGGGTATACCAGACGCTGCCATTAGTGGCCATTAACTCGTGACAGATCTCACTCAGATCACCCAAACCTGAGAGTATCATTATCGACTAATAGCGCTCGAGATATACATTTACAGGGAGCACATACATGGAGGACACACAATGGATCCCGAGGTCGATGTGTATGAGAGTGATACACACCTGCATACACCACCTGTACAAGCAAGATTACTGATTGTTCAAAAAACTAGGCAAACTACTTAGCAACTGTTCGATTGTAGTAAAAGGGTGAGGATAGAGTCCGTGCAAATCTGCTGAATTCACGGGGTATTAAAAACTCATAAATGCAAATATTTAGACTCAGAAAACCTTTTACGTTCGAAGATGTGGATTTTTTAAGGAAGGAATTTCGGATATTTTCAAAAACATCCTACTTTCTGCATTCTACATTTTTTCCATCAAAGTTCATCCTTTCTGTTCGAACTATATCTCATTCGATATTGCTGAAACTGAACATTCTGACGTAGTTTTTGATTTTTAAAATCAATCTTTCTCTGTCTAGCTCTGAAAGCCTAAGGAAAAAACGGTTGATAAAAGTGTAACGCGTCACAAATTCGTCTGTGACGTTTAGGATAGGAATAAATCCTAGTACCGGCTCTTTTATATGGCCATCAACCTTACCATAAACCTTTCGTTAGGATTTAGAACAGGATTTATTTTTCTTATGAACCTAAAAAAGATTTATTATATGTTGCACTCTCTCGATCTCTTTTCAGAGTCCACGAAGGAAATCAAACCTATGAGAAACCTTCAAGTAAGATTGCAATCCTCGAAGCGATTTTTAAGTGTTCAAAACATAAGACGCTTCTCTGATTTCTATGAAAGGTTAGTGAAAAAAGTGATACTTTTGCATTATCGAAGTCAGAAGAATCCCAAGTCATAATCAAGAAATGAGAAAAATTGTTCAAAGGTTTCTGTAAATAAAAATGATAGGATACGCTTACTCATTTGTCGTCTACTTATGAGATCGAGTTTTCATAGAAAATGTAGGATGAAAACTATAGTCCGATCTACACGCGATAGGAAATAAGCCAAGGTCCAAAAATCCGACGACGGATCCTATCGGATCCGATCGGACCCTATCGGATCCGATCGGACCCGAAAACCGACAAAAATCCGATCGGAATCCGGGTTACAGAATTCCGATCGGATCCGACAATCGGATACTCATACGTTTCTGATAATTTCCGATTGCCGAAATCCCCATTTATTCCGACGGTCGGATACCGATCGGATTTCTATAGGATTATATCAATCTTTCAACCGAGGTCCAAAAAATCCGACAAAAATCCGATCGGAATCCGGCTTGCAGAATTTCGATCGGATCCGACAATCGCATACTGATACGCTTCCGATAACTTCCGATTGTTGAAATCCCCATTTATTCCGACGGTTGGATACCGATCGGATTTCTATAGGATTCCATCAATCTTTGAATCTGTGGTCGATTTTATTTATTATGATAATGTTTGGAATCTAAATTTTACTCTATGTGAGCCGGAAAGTTTCATGATTTATAGCCACTGAAACGTAGTGTGTTTAATATAGGTTTTGGATTAAGGTGCAGCAGAATAGTTATTTTTTCTAGTATATAATGCCTTGATCAAGGAACTTATAAAATGCGGCTACCCGCGAGAAAGCTTGTTGACCTGATAACAACAAACTGTCTGTTTTCAACATGAGCACACAGGTTTCTATGAAGTACAAACTAAAAGAAGTGCTGAAGTACAGAAGTAGTAAGTTCGATTCTATGTTTCTGCCCAATTGACCAAAATATACACTAAAACAACATGTCGTTATCCGTTGTGACAAAAATCGTTTCAAACGTAGAATCTTTTCAGTATATTCATAAATTCATAAAACAGAAAATTTTTAGTTTCGAAACTGTTTAAAAAGGTCTGAATATGATATTGAATTCAGTTAAATTATTTCATTTCTCGAAATGGCAACAAATGTATACCTAGATATCTCGATTCGAGCTTAGCACTGATATAAGTTTCTACCATAAAGGATCCGATCAGATTTTGAAAATTAAGTTCTGGAAATGAGCAAATATGCCTACCTTCATATCTCGCTTGGAGCTTATCATTAATATAAGTTTCTACCATTTGGATCCGATGGGGATTTTGAAAACTGAGTTCTGGAAATGGCAAAAATGTACATCTACGTATCTCCATTCGAGCTTAGCACTGCTATAAGCTTCTATCCTATAGAATCCGATCGGATTTTGAAAATTGAGTTTTCGAAATGCCGAAAAATCCAAACTTCCATATCACCATTGGACTTTATCTTTGATATAGGTTTCTACCCTATAGGATCCGATCGGACTTTGAAAATTCAGATCTGGAAATGGCCAAAAAGGCGTACCTATATATTTCAATTGGAGCTTAGCATTAATATAAGTTTCTACCCTATAGGATCCGATCAGATTTTGAAAATTAAGTTCTCGAAGTGATCAAAAAGCCATACCTACATATAACTATTAAAGCTAAGCATTCATACAAGTATCTATCCTATAGGATCCTATCGGATTTTGAAAATTGAGTCCTGGAAGTGGTGAAAAAGGCATATCCACATATCTCCATTGGAGCTTACCATTGATATAAGCTTCTATCCTATAGGATCCTATCGGATTTTGAAAATTGAATCCTGGAAGTGATGAAAAAGGCATACTCATATATTTCCATTGAAGCTTACCATTCATATAAGCTTCTATCCTATAGTATCCGATCGGATTTTGAAAATTAAATCCGAAAGCGGTCAAAAGGCATACCTACATATAACTATTAAAGCTAAGCATTCATATAAGTATGTATCCTATAGGATCCGACCGGATTTTGAACATTCAGTTCTGGAACTGGACAAAAAGGCGTACCTATATATTTCAATTGAAGCTTAGCATTAATGTAAGCTTCTATCCTATAGGATCTGATCGGATTTTGAAAATTCAGTTCTGGAACTAGCTAAAAAGGCATACCTATCTATCTGTATTCCAGCTTGCCATTCATATAAGTTTCTATCCTATAGGATCCACTCGCATTTTGAAAATTGAGTTTTCGAAATGCCGAAAAATCCAAACTTCCATATCACCATTGGACTTTATCATTGATATAGGTTTCTACCCTATAGGATCTCATCGGATTTTGAAAATGCGCAAAAAGGCGTACCTATATATTTCAATTGAAGCTTAGCATTAATGTAAGTTTCTATCCTATAGGATCCGATCGGACACTGAGAACTGAGTTCTGAAATGGTCCAAAAGCCATACCTACATACTTCTCTTCAAGGTTAGCATTCATATAAGTTTCTATCCTATAGGATCCGATCGGATTTTGAAAATTGAGTTTTCGAAATGCCGAAAAATCCAAACTTATATATCACCATTGAAATTTACCATTGATATAACTTTCTATCCTATAGGATCCTATCGGATTTTGAAAATTGAGTTCTGGAAACGGCTAAAAAGGCATACTTATATATCTCCATTAGAGCGTAGCATTAATATAAGTTTCTACCCTATAGGATCCGATCAGATTTTGAAAATTAAGTTCTCGAAGTGATCAAAAAGCCATACCTACATATAACTATTAAAGCTAAGCATCGATATAAGTATCTATCCTACAGGATCCGATTGGATTCTGAAAACTGAGTTCTGCAAATGGCCGAAAAGGTATACCTACATATCTGTATTCAATCTTAGCATTGATCTAAGTTTCTATCCTATCGGATCCTATCGGATTTTGAAAATTGACTTCTGGAACTGGCCAAAAATGTATACCTACATATCTCGATTGGAACCAAGCATTGATATAACTATCTATCATGTAGGATCCTATCGGATTTTGAAAATTGAGTCCTGGAAGTGATGAAAAAGGCATATCCACATATCTCCATTGGAGCTTACCATTGATATAAGCTTCTATCCTATACGATCCGATAGGATTTTGAAAATTAAGTCTGGAAGTGGTCAAAAGGCATACCTAATATAACTATTAAAGCTAAGCATTGATGTAAGTATGTATCCTATAGGATCCGATCGGATTTTGAAAATTGAATCCTGGAAGTGATGAAAAAGGCATACCCATATATTTCCATTGGAGCTTACCATTCGTATAAGCTTGTGTCCTATAGGATCCGCTCGGATTTTGAAAATTAAATCTGGAAGTGGTCAAAAGGCATACCTACATATAACTATTAAAGCTAAGCATTCATATAAGTATTTATCTTATAGGATCCGATCGGATTTTGAAAATTCAGTTTTGGAAATGGCCAAAAAGGCGTACCTATATATTTCAATTGAAGCTTAGCATTAATGTAAGCTTCTATCCTATAGGATCCGACCGGATTCTGAAAATTGACTTCTGGAAAAGCCAAAAAGGCATACCTATATATCTGTATTTCAGCTTACCATTCATATTAGTTTCTATCCTGTAGGATCCGACCGGATTTTGAAAAGTGAATTCTGGAAATGGTCCAAAAGCCATACCTACATACTTCTCTTT